AAAAAAATTTTAATGCATATTTATTTTATTTTCGGGGTTTTTGTTTTTTTTTATTTCCCCCCCCCCCCCCCCTAATAGAAGCTTTCTCATATTAGAAGCCCCCCTTTGAGAGGTCTCTCCTGCAGAATTTTCTGTTTTCCCCAGCGGAACACGACCAAAGTTCTGAAGACCAAATACAAGTCCCCGGCGGTTTCTATTATGTGGGGGGGGTTATCGAAACTGTTCCAGAAAAAGTACGCTATCATTTGCGCTGCCTACCTTTTTAAATTCAGTGTGAAGGGATACACGAAGAATTTTATTCGCATTACACAAAACTTGAGGTTACAAAAAAATTCCAAAGTTCAGCGATAGCATTTCTAGGATTCAAAACTGAAATTAGAAAATCAATCAAATGAAAGAGGAAACTCTATGTATCGCTCATGAAAAACCCACTCAAGTCAATGAAAACTAACATTTAATAACTTATGAAGAGGCTATTGACTGCAGAACGAAACGACTGACTTTTAATCGGTTAAAAACTGTTAGAAATCCGTTAACGGTCATCGTTTTTTCACCATGTACCAAGTCATATCAAAGACACATTTGACTTTTCAAACAAACTACTACCGACTATTCATCCGGATGCATCACTTCTTTCTTTTGATATCAAGGATCTCTATACTTGCATTGCCCACGAAGAGGGCTGTTCTACAAAAGTATCTCGGTGTTTTAAATTCTCGTTTTTCTATTCAGTTCGTCTTAGACAGTCTCATTTTTATTTTATCCGAAAATATTTTTTCATATGATAACGAATCCTAAGCACAAATTCGAGGAATGGCTATGGGCTCGACGACAGGTTCCTCTTTTACTACCGTATATGTTGGCTGTCGCAAACATATACTGTTTTTAAGGCTTCAGTTTGTTGTCACCGATCAGATTTTTCATTTCTTGAAATCAAATTTGAAACAATATTTAGACAACTGTTTTTTACCATGGCTGTTTGACGACGAAACACTAATACTTTTTCAAAGATATTTAGACTTTTTAGACCCAAATCTAAATTTTATGTTAACCGACAACGGCCAACAAATACCATTCTTAAATGTTTTAGTGAGAAATCGGCAGGGTAAGCCGAAACCGATATATTCTATAAGTCCATAAATTCTTTTCAGTATTTGCATTTCAAAAGTTCCCACCCTCGCTCGATCAAGAGAAATGTTCCCTATAATCTTGCCCGAAATACGTCTTATCGTTGCTGATCCATGTATTCGAATTTTAAGACTAAATGAACTAAAACAACATCTTTTAATCCACGGTTATCCTTCGTCTCTTCTATCGGATGCAATTCAAGAAGTTATGACAATACCTCATCTACAACAACTAATCAAGCGGAACAATCGCAATGACCATCGGCATTAACATTTGTGTCAACATGTAACCAGAATAATTCAGATGTATTTCCATTTATTCAATCGTTATTACCAAATGTACTTTCATCTGGTCGAAAACCACATAGCAGATAATCCTCGTCTTATACATGCCATTACCCGACAAAATATTTTACCGACTGAAGTGAACAGCAAAGTGTGTCTCAAAACCCGTCTCGCACTTTCTATAATTTGGTTATCTATTTGAATAAATGTGCTTTCTTCTTCTCCTCTGTCAAATATTTTTTAAATATTAGAAGATCATTTAAAAACATTGTTGTTGATGTTGAAAGATCATTCGATTCTGATCTTGATCTAGAATCGCGTGTGTTTTCATTTCTTATCAATGGATTAGTCGTTGTCATTTGAATATGTTCTGTTGATAATACACTGCCAAAGTTAATTTCATTCGATGATTTTCTTTGAGGTTTGTTAGAATGATAGGCTTTTTGCAGCATATCGAACAAAACTTTTGTATGTACCGGTATTAGAGCTATAAAATACAATATCATTATTATAAGATATAACGATACCATCGTTTCAAAATATTAAAGCTGATGAAAATGATGAATGAAATATAGAAATGTATAATTAGTACGCTACGACATGTGTTTGTATAGAGCAAACAAAATGAGTCTATACCGTCACAAATAAAGCACAAAATAATGTTTACTTACAAGACCATAATGCCCTATCTTGTTTCAAACGTTCTTGACAATTCTCTCCAATATAATCGAAATAACATCGACATTCGTATGATTGATAAGTTTCAACACGAATTCCTCCCTGGTGCTGATGATCATAAACTGAGCAGTTGCGGTACACAGTGACTGAAACGTGATCGCTCATCGTTAATATATGTAGAGTTTCAGGTCGTTTCCTTTCATTCTTTCTGATCTACTAATTGATTTATCGATTTCCATTAAAGGTGTTTTCAATTGTTCTAATTGATTTTCATCAGAAATATTAGTTGATAATTCCTTCATTACAATATTAATATTATCTCTAGATCTGTCTTTTAACTCATATGTCCCACTAGAGGCTAATTTAATTCCACTTAATTTTTCTCTATAAATTGGGTCTGATTTATTTAATTTGCTTTCTTCTTTTCAGGTTCCCGAATAGAGGAGAGTCACGCGCATGATCTATGTACGAATATTTAAGTTTCCTTTGCTCATTTATTTGAAATTAAGATCAGAACAAAACCAATACATTAGATAAAATTTTTATAATTGTCAAACGATCGGTAATGAAATGAAGCAGCAACAGACTTTATTTCTCAGTTACAAACATCCTATCTTATCAAAATTATCGTCTGCAAAAGTAGTAAAAAATTTAGGGCATTTCGTTTCAAAACAGTTAATGTTTTTGAGATAATATCGCATTTGCCATTTGTCATTATCACAGACATTGCTGTTCATCTGTTCAATTTTAAAGAATTATCTTTTTTATACTTCTTTATCTATATAGTTGTTCAAATTAGACAAAAGAAATGCAAAATGATTACATTCAAAAATATAATTTCGAATTAGAGTCGTCTTTTGCGTGTATGTGTTTAACGGAACAGTTAACTATAAATGGAAGAAAGACATGACAAAACTTAACAAAAATTTTGATGTGAAAAAACAAAATTAACAAGAATAAAATGATAACAGCAGCAATAAGTGAGATTCAAACAATTAAAATTTCTATTCTGCATCGAATGTAATTTGGCCTGCGCCTCCCGATTTCATCCACCTTCGATAACTTTTATATTTACCGCTTTCAGCCATTTTGATCTTTTGCTCGTGTTCCTTTGCCTCTTTCCATTTTTTGAAGTTATCCCAAATCCATAATTCCTTTGACCATATTTGTTGTGAGTCTTTTTCAGGCAAAGATTCGTATTGATCACGATTTACTTTTAAATATTTGCATACCAAATAAATTTTCTCTTCATCACCATACTCATCGTTTCTCAAATTAAATTTATAAAACCAACGTACATGCCATTTCAAAAATCGAAATAAATAATAAGGGAACATAAACAACTGAAGCCACAACACTCGCTGAATACCTATAAATAAAAACAACATGCAATTTTTCTAGTGCTGTGGTCAGGGCCTTATATTTCTCTTGTCAACCGTTCTTAGATTTTGATTTAGTCTTAAAATTACTACTATTAAGACATGGATGAAACATTTCGTATTTGCAACTTTGAAACCTTTTTCTTTCTGATGATATAGTCTTATATCCTATAGAGCGCTACTGTCTAATCAATCCATATGAATTTGATTCTGTTCGAAGAGTACGATATCACAAACGTATGCAATTTTTGAATTACGATAATTTTTCTTAGTATCAACAGAAATACTCTTACGAGGGAAGGTCCCCAAGTGTGACCCTCAGTTTCAAATGGGATACACACCAGTCTGTAGAGCTTCACGAGATGATTACGATGACATAAAGCATTTTTCCCGATGCCTTTTGAAGACCCCGTTTTCTGGAAAACCAGTTTTTCAGAAACTATTAAAAATAATCAAAACCTTCCTTAATGGGGCATGATTGTAGCGCGCAAATTTCTGATTA